ACGGTTGCTAGTGTAGTATGTACGTCATTGCCAAACGTAAAAAAAAAAGAGTAACGCGTGTGTATTGTATACGAATTAGCGTCGGTTGGTTCGGTTGTTGTTAAGTTAAAGCTACACGATGGGCTATCTGTGTTCTGCTTACCACAGGTATCGAAACGAGATTTTTAGCGTCGTAAGCCTGCAAGACTTACCGCAGAGTCACTAAGAGACTTGGTTTATAAGATCTAACAAACCTTCACATAAAACACCTGCCAATAAAATACATAATTAAAATATTACGGACCCAGATCTGAATAAGACGATCCTTCTTCATATAGCATGGCAGATATCATTAGAGCTACAAAATGTACCGATTCTTACGCTGTACCTATAAATACAGGTGTATCTTGTCTTTAATGTTCATCCAAAGATTTATAACACATTTTGCAACTTTTGCGGTCATTGTTATTTTATTCCGAAACGTTGGCGGCCATTGTTATTTTAATGATGCAATTTTATTGAATATTTATCAATTCTTTACATCTGAACGTATCCTTCCACAGACTCCAGCTCTTTCGAGAGAAATCATGTGTCATTAAATATATTTAAAAGTTTGTTTGTTTGTAAATTAAGCACAAAGCTACACAATGGGCTATCTGTGCTCTGCTCACCACGGGTATCGAAACCCGGATTATAGCGTTGTAAGTCCGCAGACATACCACTGGGGGGGCATATTTAAAAGACAGTAGCAGCGAATAAAAGTTTGGAGACGGCTTGACTTGGTAATAAAAAAAACAAACTTTACTACGAATGTACGACGTTTCGATAAGATTTTGTCATCCTCAGGTGTTCCTCGTTATCTAGTTTTAATTCATCATAGTGAATATGTTCCTTAATACCGTTATCAAACTATTTCAATTTCAATAAAGTAGAGCGCGAACAACAAAACTGAAACGCATGGTGGCCACATAATTCAATTTTGGTTTTACCCACGCTCTGTTGGACACCTACAATGGTTTTAGTTTCGATTCCCTTGCAACTGCGCCACATATTTTTCCTAGTTTAGGGAAACAATTGAAGAAAAGGTCTACAACTTACGAAAACTAACTAACGAAGACAGTCGGCAGCTAAGAAAAAAACACACGAAGGAACAACGTATTTGTGAGAGTAATAACTTTACCACAGAATATTATATTATAATTTGTGGATTATATTTTGTAGATACTTAACATTTAAACTTTATATCATTGCGATATATTCACGAACGTAGTAACGTGTATAATGTCGAGGTGGGGTCGTTAGCCTTTACTGCGTCGTGCACATCGCGCTGACCTATTTGGCTTGTTGCCAACCGTCTAACGGGTAAAAAGGATTTCATTTCACTACCGACTTGAATGCCAACATCAGCGTTGCGTCATAGATGTTTGTATAGTCACATTAAAAAAAATCACACCTTATTTAAATTGTAAACCACTTAACTGACTGACCCAAAACCTGTATCATATGATAAGATACAACGTATTCTGCATGTCCATATGAAGACACTCTAGAATGTACAAATATATGCTGATACCCAGTACCAACTTGTATTTATTTTAATCTAATCACGGTCCGAAACCAACAGCAATCGAGTTTCCATTCTAATAATAGTTAATATCTAAAGTTAGTTTTATGTTCTTTTTTTAGTATTACTAACTGAACAACTCTTCACGTGCTACCCAGAAGGAAGGGTGAGAAATTACTTTAAATAGACAATGCGTGAAAATAACACACAATAAACAAAACTGGTTAGAAGTTTGTCAAAAGCAGAACTACGGTAACGTAGCGAAGCAATTTAGACGTTATAAAAATTATAGCGAAAAATATCTAATATTAAAAACAATGTTTTGTGTGGGAATAAATAACTGTAGTACCACAATTACAGCCATTGATACTAGGTGATTATAGTACCACAATTACAGCAACTGATACTGGGTGATTATAGTACCACAATTACTGCAACTGATACTGGGTGATTATATACTTAATGAACAAAACACCATATTTAAAATAACTGTAGTACCACAATTACAGCAATTGATACTGGGTGATTATTGTACCACAATTACAGCAATTGATACTGGGTGATTATAGTACCACAATTACAGCAATTGATACTGGGTGATTATAGTACCACAATTACAGCAATTGATACTGGGTGATTATAGTACCACAATTACTGCAACTGATACTGGGTGATTATATACTTAATGAACAAAACATCATATTTAAAATAACTGTAGTACCACAATTACAGCAATTGATACTGGGTGATTATAGTACCACAATTACATCAATTGATACTGGGTGATTATAGTACCACAATTACAGCAACTGATACTGGGTGATTACAGTACCACAATTACAGCAATTGATACTGGGTGATTATAGTACCACAATTACAGCAATTGATACTGGGTGATTATATACTTAATGAACAAAACACCATATTTAAAATAGTGACATCTTGAAAACTACTGATCCAAAAGAAACTAAATTTTTCCAGGGGCGTATTGAGAATCGTAGGTTTTATTTAGGAAAGCCTGGACATGATATGCTTTTTTTTCAAAACCATATTCCATACTGCATAATCGTAGTAAAAAAATTGGGTAAAAAATTTTATACCAGAAGAAAATGGTAAATGATAGACAGATGTTTTCAATGTTCAAAAATTTTCAGGATACCCGTCCTCTTGTAACTGTATGACGTATCATACTGCAGGATACCCGTCCTCTTGTAACTGTATGACGTATCATACTGCAGGATACCCTCCTCTTGTAACTGTATGACGTATCATACTGCAGGATACCCTCCTCTTGTAACTATATGACGTATCATACTGCATAGTTAAACTTTTTTTTTTTTGCAAGCTAGAATTATTTTTACTTATCTTCTACTATCTTTCAACAATACGAGATTAGTCACTTTGTTTTAAAAAAAGGCGTGTCGATGTGCAGGGTATTGCGAAGATAGATAAACACTGTCTAATATCTGATGATGCTTGTAGTAGTTTCATCAACTTGCTGACTGTGAGCGGTGGAAAGCATACTGTACATCTTCTGTGATAAAACGATCTTCCAGACTTTCCTGATAAAAATGTAATTTTCAATGATGGAGTTTAGTTCTCCTAGAACAAGCACTTTTTAAGATATAAAATAAAATATGAGATTTTCTTTATAAGCATCCTGCATATCATTTGTATGTTATGATGATGAAAAGCCCCGAAAAGACAAACCACACAGTTATATTTCAAACATGGACACAGCGGTGTGATAAGTGTACATCAGTAACATGTGTGACATGTTATTCAAGACTTTTAATGTGTTCACAGTCAAAGTTCAGCATAATTATAGGCGTATTTCTGTAAGTATTGGTGATGTATAACTCAAGACTTTTAAAGTACTCAAAGTCGATCTGCAACAAAGTGGTATGTGTAATTCTGTAAACATTGGTGACGTATAACTCAAGACTTTTAAAGTACTCAATGTCGATCTGCAACAAAGTGGTAGGTGTAATTCTGTAAACATTTGTGATGTATAACTCAAGACTTTTAAAGTACTTAAAGTCGAGCTGCAACAAAGTGGTAGGTGTAATTCTGTAAACATTGGTGATGTATGACTCAAGACTTTTAAAGTACTTAAAGTTGAGCTTCAACAAAATAGTAGGTGTAATTCTGTAAACATTGGTGATGTATGACTCAAGACTTTTAAAGTACTCAAAGTCGAGCTGCAACAAAGTGGTAGGTGTAACTCTGTAAACATTTGTGGTGTATAGCTCAAGGCTTTTAAAGTACTCAAAGTCGAGCTTTAACAAAATAGTAGGTGTAATTCTGTAAAAATTTGTGATGTATAACTCAAGCTATTTTACTTACTACATGAAAGAAACTGAATATCAACTTATTCTAAAGGTAGAATAAATATCTTGAAATCGTGATTTATAAAATCCTATATCATTATCACCCTTTCGCAAATTAACTTCGAGCGTATTCTTTAATATTTATATGATTAATGTGTTATTGAAAATCTTACATGAAATACATATACATAGTATAACCAGATAGTAATTATTACCGTGCATATACCATATTGCCCCTAATTAACGCCCCCGGTATTTTTTATAAAGCTTACTTTTTGTGACAGCAATAGTAATCCAACATATAATCTACTTTTATTACCGTGATTTTTAATTTAAAAAAAAAGAGAAGAAAAAACAAACACACACACTTATTGGCATTGAAATCAACAAATCACATGTGAAAAAATAGAATCTGGATCTGCACAAATGCTATAATGAGCGCCCCCTTTGCAGTTTGCAATGCCATCGGGGCAATACGGTAGCCAGTTTACATACGTTAAGAGCCTTTTTTGTGTGCAAACATCGATGTGAATTTTTCAAATGAATATTTAATACTCGTTTCAGTATTTGTATTTTTCAGTCTTATAATGTACCCACAGCTTAAAAAGCGAGGAATATTTTATTGTATTACATGAATTTGAAACCGGCTCGCCAACTCCGAAATCCTGAGCTCTAACCACAGGGCTAACCTTCTCCCACCCGTTCCTCTGAGCACCCCCCCCCCCTTATAGAATGTTGTTTTATAAGTGTTATGAGTTTCTTTGAATAAATAATCAGACATTTTGAAGTTGAATGTCAGCCGTATTAACATGTTACAACTTTTCAGTTTCTGTTCTTTACCTAAAACTAACAAAGTGTCCCTGAAGTTAACGGGCTGAATTCTGTCATTCCACATAACACTGTTCTGGTAGAATACTAATAATAAGTTGTTAACATTGTATCTGCAAACAATCTCTTTTGTAACTTACCTTTCGCTCCCGATGGCTTAGCGATAAGTCTGAGAGTTTATAACGCTAAAAATCGGGTTTCGGGTTTCCGACCCGCGGTGAAAAGAGCCCAGTCAATTGTGTAGCTTTGCGCTTAACAACAAACAAACTTACCTTTCACCTGTCACAAGTTCAACTTACCTCTCACCTGTCACAAGTTCACTCCCACGAATTGTAGAACATGTTACTTTAACTTCCGTGAGGCCAACCACACAAATATTAGTTACTTAAAAGATAGCAGCAGTCAAGTTATTCTGTAGAACGCCGTTCTGTAAGGTTTGGTTTTTCTTTTTTTTCCTCAAGGATAATTTTGTTTCGTGGAAAACCACCATACGAGAAGTGCTGGCGTTGGTCGAAGTTGAAAATACAGAGCAAACGTACACATGTCGAAGAGAAGCAGATACGGTGTGTTTTATCACACGAAGTGGGTATAAAATGAAAGTTGCAACCCGCTTTCATAAAAGCAACACTATTCGACCTACTGGAGCCTGTGGTGTACATATTTGTGCCAAGGTCACGGTGGTTTCCAAGTGGGCGGAGTGATCTGTTTGGTGATCGTGAGGCAACGATGTTTCCGCTCAAACAGTAAGCGGAACCCAGTTTTCAAATAATTTAAGATTCGGACCTTGCCATTTGAAAGCAGCTAGATACGACTGATAATATCGTATATTGATTAGGTCAGTAGGAAACATGATTTACAACGACGGTTCAAAGCTATCGTAAAACAATATTTCTGTAAAAAATAATTAAATCTTTCTGTGTAACATTTATTAAAAGATATGGAAATATGAGTTTCAAATACTTCACTACTCGTTCCTAAAATACCATAAAAAGAACAAGAAAAATAAAAGAAATAAGACGATGAATCAGTAAATAAACTGTAAATGTAAAAACTTTAACGTAACACGATTATCTGGAAAAAAACACGTACACTTTCTTTCTGTTTTCGCTGCTGACCCAATTTATATTGAAGCCAATGTCCAGACACACACACCTTGACCTCGGTCTCGCTGACCATGCATTGTATTGTTTTTCAACGTGGAGTAATCTACAGATAATCATAAGGTATGTGGAAACTCGTATAGGAAGTTCTAAGATACTGGTGTCTGTGTCCGTCACAAGCTCTCACCCTGGCTTTGTTGACCACCAAAGCATGAATATTCTTCGTGGAATAATTTGTATGATTCAGGGTCACGATAAGGTGTCGAATAAAAATTCTAAGAACCCGTGAGTGAAAGCTGAGGAGAATGTGTCGACCATACTACACCTGCCATATTCAGTACTGACGAGGCATTTCGCCCATTACCACGACTCATCAGACAGGTTGAAATGCAACAGATATAGTAGTAGCCTAGGTGCTATATATATACCATCAATGTTCTTGAACAACAACTGTTATGGCTTGAACTAGAAAGTGAATTATAAGTGTCAGAAATTTTTAGTTACATCATGCACAAATCCAATTTAGAGTAAGAATTAAGCTCTTGGTACTAATAACTGTGCCACACCAGACGCCCCCCCCCCCCATACTTGTGGATCGTACCGCATTGAAACCATGCTCCTTCATCGTGGGATAACCTGTATGCTTCGTGGTCACAGGGTCTGTAAACGTTAATCGTATAGGAAGTTCTACGTATTCGTACATAACAGGTTCTAGGTCATACGAGTTTCACATAATAAGTAGGTAAAGAAAGAGTACTTATATATACAAGTGCAGAGCTCATTGATTTCAGTATAGCCACTTATTGATAAAGACTAATTTCTACTAAACTACGCTGAGGTGCACCTAAAGATCATAATTGGATCCGTATCGAAAGATGATCATCCGAGCTATGTTATAGGTCGTAATCCGAGCTTAATGAAAGGCCATAAGCCACAACATAGTAATCTGGAGAGTAACAACAATAAGAAACTCAAATAAATAACATATTGCAAAATTTATGAACAAAAATTCCAATTATTCAGAGACATTTTAAATATTAAAACAGAAATCAAAATTATTCATAACTCAAAGATGTCAAAAATATAACATCATCATATCTTTATCTAAAAACCGATCTAGAATACCTTAGTTTAAATGTCTTAAGGTCGGACTTGAAATAAATATAAAAATCTAAATCTGAAATCTGTTATCAGTTCAAAAGCTGGTATATTTAATCGCTCAAACTACGTGGCATACGTAAATATTCAGTGATCTGGTAAGATTAGCGAAAAATCTGAGACGGGTTATTACTCTCTCGGAGATGTTAATTTATCATAATCTATACTTTATGCAAAGGTTAGAAGCTGTATAAGGTTATAAAACTAAAACATATTCCCAAAGTTTACGCATGTGAGACAGTACAGCAAACAGAAACAAAAGAATTATTTAAATCTGACAATATACCAACAGCGGGAACAGGCCAACGGTATTGTAACCAGCACCCATTAATTAATCATAATGAAAGTTACGTACAGGAGGAAACAGCAATATGCTAAAAACAAAGTAGAATGAATGCCACATTAACCAAAACTGTTGTTACACAGACTAGTCACAGCTAACTGTCCAATAAAATATTCGAAAAGAAAAACGGCTATATCAGCTGAGGTTGTGGCTAGATACTTCTTAAATTTAGTTTATTTATTTAAGCATATTAAATATATGACGCTCATAACCTGACAAATAAAGGATTTTTACTTATTTGTGAATTTCTTTTCCTCATCAAAACGTGAGGTTCAGTGAAGAAAAGGTGACTTAAAGGCCTAATCTATTCTTTGATTCGTTACTCCCGTTGCAACAGACTAGTTTCATGGAATTCACAGATCATCAATGCTAGTTGCAAGAACGAAGCAGATGAATAAAGAAGGCCTCGTATAGTGGTGAAACGTAAATAGTTTGTTTGGTTTTGATGTATAGTCTTTTACTCTCCACTAATAACCTAGAATTTTATGTTATTAGTGGTAAATAAAACCAAACAAATAAAGCACTTTATGATTTGTGAATAAATAAATATTCCGTTTAAAACAGGTGAAGTAAATGTAGTTTATAAGTATTTTTTCCGTTTAATTCTTTTTTAGCAATACCTAACTGGACTTACTGATAACCTTTTGTTATCCAATTGGTTACGTTCTGCAATTCGGGAAGATAAAAGGGAAGAGCTATGTAGAACGTTTGACATTAGAGATTACTATATAAAGTACGATTGAGAAATTAAACAAATTGTTTCATAAAACGAAGTAATATTATGAGATAATCCTAAACATATACGTCAAAACATCCAAGAACACCTTAATCCTAACGATACACATCATCAACTACAATACATCCAAGAACACCTTAATCCTAACGATACGCATCATAAACTACAAAACATCAAATACTACCATAATCAAACTGTATAAATCATCAACTACAAAACATCAAATAATATCATAATCCAACGATATACATCATCAACTACAAAACACCCAAGAACAACTTAATCCTAAT